GAAGCGATAGAGCGTGAAATCCGAGCAGAGTTCCAAAACCTCCATCGTTTCCTGGATGAGGAGGAAGAGACGGATCTGGAACGGCTAAGGAAGGAAAGGGACAGACGAGTGAAGATCTTAAAAGAGAGAGAGAAAAAGATTGGCACGCAGAGTAGAGATCTAGAGAAAGCCATCGAGACACTGAACTGCAAACTGCGGGAAGATGACAGCCCTAAACTTTTGAAGGTGGATTTCCATTTTAAGTTGTATAAACTAACAGACTACGATCTTTATGGTGTAGTGACCTGCACTGGGAGAGAAATAGTTCCTTATCCTCTATGGACTGTCTAATTATTGTGTATTTTATTTTATTATTGTGCATTTAACTGTTATGAAATCATCTACTCTGACCACATCACATATGTACTGTAAAATACTAACAGGGTTAGTTTCATAAGTCATCCAGTAGACACCCACAGAACATGCTAGATGCCATTTGACACTGTTCAGATCAAGTGCTAAAACAATCACATGATTGAAAGAGTGAGGAATCTGAAGAGCTGGCTGCTGCAATCAGGCAGCGAAACGTGTTTGAATCTGAACATTCTTGCTCTAAATATTATATTTTTTAATCCATTTAGGAAATCAAAGAGCTTCTGAAAAGGCAAGTGTCTTTTTTCTTTATTCTTTCTCACTTGGTCTCTAATTCTCGTATAATCTTAATCATTGTTGTTACTGTTCTCATTCTGTTCACCATTTACCTCTGTTCTTGCTCAGCTATGATTGTTTATCTTCATTAGATGTGAGGTGAATTTTATTCGTCCTCCAGCAATAGACAGCGAAATTCTCTCTGGTCAGTTTGTGGGGCCCATTCAGTACCGGATCTGGAAACACATGAAAACATCTCTCTACCCAAGTACTAAGACTAAATTTTAAATAATATATATATATTTTTTACATACTAAAGAGAAATCTGAACTATTTCAATTCTCGCTATAGTGGTGGTGGTTAGGTTCATGCCAGGTACTCGAATCGTTTTAATCTTTTCATCAATGATTCATTAAGTCACTATTTCTGCAGGTTACGTTGCCACCAGGTGGTGGCGCAAAAAGTGAGATTTGTGCTATGAGACATTAAATGAAGTAATTTTATTAAAACATTCGGTGCGACCAAAATTGCAAACTGAGTAGGTGCAACATTTGAATTTAAACTTTCAAAAAACAAAAGTATGCACTATTTAGTATGAATTTGGGGTATTATGAATGAATTTCGGACGTACTATGTCCGCCATGTTGTTGCTATCGCATGACCTACCATAAGTATTCTGAAGTGTTTTATTTCGGACGAGTTCATTCAAGTCATTCAAACCCAAATCACTGATTTATTAAGTAAAATGCTACTTCAAAATGCTTGCAAAACATGCTATTATGCCAGTTGTTGAAAGAAAAAAAGCAATCCATCAGGAGACTCTAAAAGAAGAAAAATGTAAGTTAATTTCAGAAAGAGTACAATAATATTTCATTTCACAAACAAAACACAAAACACCACTACTTTAGCCTAGTACTGTAAATCCCTGTTAAAAACAATATAGAAACCATCACAGAAATTATTTTACTGGTTATAATGGGACTTGTATTGGCTTTAATGGAAACTGTATTGAACCCTGTGGGTTTCTGCTATTGGTCACCTTCTATTGGTGGCTTGTTAAAACTATTAAATCCTAATGGAATATGTCCCAAAAAAAACGGACGTTAAAAGTTTATGGTTTGTAATGTTGTAGTGGAAACCATTAGAATTTCTTTGATGGTTTCTATTGTTTTTTTGTTTTGTTTTTTCAGCAGTGCTGTAAGGTAAATGTGTATTATTTGTTGCATTAAAGATATTGTACAACAGATTACTGATTAATCTAATGTAAATCAATTCTGAATAACTTATTTGCATACACAGACATATCTATGTTGACTTTTGACCCTGAAACGGCACATCCCCACTTAACCCTCTCTGCTGAGAAAAATTCAGTGACTTTCGAGGAAGACAAGGTGCTGCCTAACGAGAACCCAGATGAAAGGAACCCGAAGCGCTTCCACTTCTATTATTGCGTGATGGGTTCAGAGGCCTTCACTCATGGCCGTCATTACTGGGAGGTGGAGGTGAAAGGCAAAACCGCCTGGCGAGTGGGTGTGGCCAGAGCAGACATACCCCGTGGAGAGATGGACTCTTCCTCAACGTTAAACGGACTGTGGACACTGTCCCTCAGAAATGGCTCGATCACAGCCTGCACCCACCCAAAGCCCACAAAGGTGCTCTCATACACCCTCCCCATCCGCATCGGCATCTTCCTGGACTGTGATAAGGAGGAGGTTTCTTTCTACAATGCTGTCACCATGACGTCACTCTTCTCATTCTACATAGGGACTGTTCTAGTGCCACTCTATCCATTCTACAACCCATGTGACACAGATGAAGAAAAGAACTGCGCTCCTCTTTCCATATTTCATCCATCACTCTGAGGGATTGACATGGATGTTCCACTGCTGACAGTTTGAAATGCTAAATTCTGATCACCTCGAAGCTTGGATGCCTGTAAAGCTAGAGTGCAGTTTTGTTGTGTACAGTAGTTGTGTTTGGCTGATCTGTTTAAGTAACACTAAACAGTGGCTGTATCCCAAATCGCCCCTATACCATCATTCACTATTCATTACTCCACTAATATACTTCACTGAATAAATGTAAGATATTAAAGGGATATTTCACCCAAAAATGAAAATTTTGTCATCATTTATGTAGCGAATTTAGCTCACAACAGGAAATATGAATAATTAACCATAACTAGTTATAATTAACTATTCATATTTTAGATCCGCTGTAGATATTTAGCTGACCACTCAGGGTCAACTGTCTTGTCAATTCTAAGAACGTTAATTTCCTGGTTAAGGGAAATAACTTTCTTACTGTACAATTCTACCAAGCTTGTAACATAAATCTGCATGATTAGTGACTCCGGTTATGAGCAAACAATGAACACGTCAAGTGTGATACAAGTAAGGTTTTATTAACTACATAAACACTTAAACTAGTCTAACATACTACATAAACACATAAACTGGTCTAACATACACATACACACACACACACACATACAGTTGGTATAGGAAAGGGTTAAAGTTTAACTCAGCACAGAAAGAGGCATAGAATGACATTTATGGAAACATTTGCATATTCAGCAGATCTA